TTGAAATCATAATAACAAAAATGAGAGATGAGAAATCACCAATTAAAAATAGAAACAAAGCATCACAAATATTTAGACAAACGCAAACTCCACTAAACTCCTATAAATTCTACCCCTATTGAACCTTACAAGTGTACAATATCACGCTTATTAATATTTTAATTAAAACATATTTGAAATATGTAAAGATAAATTATTTATGCTTAAAATTTAGTGTATTCAAATTGTATTGTATTTTTAATTAAATTAAAATTAGTATATCCTTAGTCAGTCTAAACAGTTTTTTTCGTCTTTTCACTATTTTTTTTATTTCGTTGAATTTGATACGTTTTTCTTTTTCTGGTCAACTTTTGAATTTGATACTTTGACGTACCAAAGATTCACTCGCGTTAGGCCAAGGATGTATGCAGATTGACCCACAAAACTGATGGAGAAGAAATAGAAAGGGGCATAGGGTCTCATATTCGCACGTGGGTGGCGGTCAAGAAATCTTGACGGACACACCACACCACATGAAAAATGATATAACATTTTTCTTTTATTTTTTCAATATAGGTGTCATATGCTTAATAAAAAATTAAGTGTAATAAAATTTAAATAAAAATTATAAAATATCGTTAAATTTAATATATTGATAATATTAAATATTATGATTTTAATAAAAGTCGTTTTTATTTTTTTATTTTTTATTATATTTCTTTAAGACACATCTTTTTTATTTTCTTTTACAACATTAACTTTTCAAAAAAATTAAATCTTAGAAATTAATTTTAAAATTGATTAATTTTTTAAAAGATAAAAAGTAGTTGGATTATAATAAATCATAGAGGAATTAATAAACACCAAAAATACAACTAAAAAGGTGGGTTAATCGAAGCAAAACCCATATCAAAAGGGCCATTACAAAAACTACATCTGCGGGTGTTTCTAGATTTATTTTTTTCCGAGTAGCAGATTTAGTTTTAATTTATAAAATCTGTTTTGGTAAATCGTAATGGAAAATGCTAAATACTTTTACAATATTTATATAATTTTTTTCTATTAAAAATTATTTTAAACACATTAGTTGACTTTAACCTTTTAAAAATATCTCTTCCTTTAAAAGACGTGTTAATTTTATATAAATAAGAATATTTGTAAATTAAAATAGTAGAAGAATTTAACTTTATTTAACTGTAATATGATTAGATACGGGTAAGTCAAACTATTAGTAACCATTGATTATTTCATTAATATTGATTTGTTTTCTTAGAACAAGTTTTTTATAGTTCCTTTTAAGCATTTTGCTTGAAATCTTTTTTGATTAATTGTATATGCCTTTGAAAATTTCTTACCTATTTCACCAAATCTTCTCCCGTTAAATAACAGATTATGTGTAATTAAATAAACGATTTGATTTTCTTACTATTTTTTCAATCTATCAGAATCAGATTATTCTCTCATTTGGAAAAAGACAAATATTTCATGATAAGTTTGGGTGCTAAAGTCACGTGGCGTTTTTTATTAACTATTTATCTTTATTTTTTATTTTTTTTCAAAATTATTTCTTAAATGTTATTCCTATTTTTAATTTATCTTTAGTTTTATTTAAAGAACCACACAGTAAATTAAGTTGACTATTTTTTGGATGAATTAAAATTTAAAATTAATACAATCCGAATCGATCTTATTTATTATTTTTATAATGATCTTAATTTAATTTTTAAAATTTCACACCCTTATTTTAACAGTTTTCTTCCCAATTTTATAAATCTGAACTCTATAATGTATTTTTAATTAACGTAATAAAATATTTATTGTTATTAATAATATTTTTAATTTTTTAAAAATTTATTTATATTTTTAAAAACTGAACAATGACCCAAAAAAGTTCGTTAGTTAATTTAAAGTCAATCTATATATTATTTACTTACGGTAGTTAAGTCTCTTTCACTTCAATTTATATAATTATCACATGTTTGAAATAATAATTTATTATATTTTTTAATGTAAATAAAATAATATATATAATTTAAGATTACTTATTAATTAATATATTTTTTAGGTCATTTTATTAGTATATTTAAGGTCGTGTTTAGTAAAGGTATTTTAAAATTTATTTATGAGTTTGTAACTTCTAGTAGAACTATTTAATAAAAACAAAATGAAATGAACTTGTAATTTTTGAAATTTAATTTTTTAAAAGTGATTTAAATAAATGTTTAACTTTCAAAAATTAGTTACTGATATTTTATTATATTTTTACACTTTATTTAAAAAAAACTCACCATTCACATAATTAAAATTTTAGTATATTAATATTATTTTTTATTTTCATAATATTTTATTTCCTTTTATCTCTATTTTCATCTTTTTATTATTAATAGTTAATAATATATCTTTTAAATGAAAAATAAATAATTAAATAAATAAATAATACTTTAAAATTAAGAAATAAGTATAAAAATAAAATATTTAAATCAATTTTTATAATATTTATTGATATAACATGTTAAAATTAATAATTCTAAAATAAAATTTAAGTTATTATTTGAATTAATGATATTACTTTTATTAATTAAATGTGTTAAAATAATTATATTTAATTTTAACATTATATATCCTTTTAAGATATTTAATATAAATTAGTCAATTATATGACTAATTTTTTAAATAGATTAATTTCATAAACTATTTATGCAATTATAAACTTTTAGTTATAAGTTCATAACTTTCACAATTATTTTCGTTTCTTACTTTTTTACAATGCAATTTTTATGTACACGTAGATAAAAATGTTATCTAAATTAGAGTAAACAACAAAAATTATTTCATTTTTAACATACAAAAATATTTTTGAAATGAAATTAATCATAAAGTTTCTCAGCTTAACAAGTTTAAAAAGATTCATTTATTCAATTGTTTTTCCTTCATTCTTAGCACTTGATTGATTCCTAAAAGATGCATATTGAATCTAACTTAACACCCGATATAATTAGTAGCGATCCATATTGATATTTGAAAATTTTCACTTGAAAAGATTAGAGTATTATAATGCTAAGAGATGAAATGATTTTTCATAAAAAATAAAATGTCCTAAATTTTGGATTTTTATATGTGATTTTGATATCCTAATTTTTTTTTAATCTAATTAAGTTTATATGTGTGTGTACTGTGTAGAATGGACACAGCCACACAGGGCTTAAAGCTTTTTCATTTGCTAAACCAGTGGTAATGGGACGTTGGGTTGAAAGTTAAATTTTAAAAAGGTCCCAACGGTAAATGGGCCAGCCATCCGAATGCAAAAAAAATGAAAAAAGGTTTTTTGAATCTTTGCTTGAGAATTTTTCTTCAATAAGACTGTACTTTATCAGAAATTTGAAGATGCAAAACAATTATACGAAAAGACAATATAAAGTAGCCAATTTCCAATTATAAAAAAAACAACTAATAAAAAACAATTAAATCATCTACTCTACTTTTGCAATATGGTGACATTGAATATTTTATATATTTTTAGGGATGTTTTGTGAACAAATTCTTTTATAGATTTTTTTTGTTTCTAAATTATTTTATATTTTTAAAGAATCTTGAGTTGGAAATGTCATATTTTTATTTTTTTATAATTATATTAAAAATAAAAAGGTAACATTTTTAGCAATCTTTTTTACTATACTTTTCAATAAAAGTATAATGGGAGGAATACTAATCTAAGATTCTGTTTGATAAACTTTTTCAATTAACTGAAATTTTATTTTATTACTTTAAGTTTTTATTTAACAAAAACAACTTTATTATTAAAGTAGTTGACATAAGTAATTTTTTTGTATTTTTTGAAACCACTACACTAATTAGCATTGTTTTAAACGCTACTTTTTAGTTCCTAACTTCTTTTTTTCATATATTTTTTAATTATTCCTCCTTTTACATTTTTAGTTAAAAAAAATATTCTTTTATATCTCTCTCATTCAACTTTTTAAAATCACTTTCGATCATTAATTTTGTTTGTAATATAATAATAATAAGTCATATGTCCTCACTGTTTAATAAAAAATATTTAAAATGATAATAAAATTAAAATTTATAATTATTTAAAAACATATGATTTAGCTATCTTTTTTATATTTACGAGCTAGTTGAATATTTAATTTTATTAATATATTTAATTTAATTAATTAGTGTTTGGACTTTCAGTTAACTTAATCATTAATTTTACCAAATACACCTTAAGATTCCCATGAAAGTGAAAAAATTGAGCTATAATCTTAAAAACATTTTCAAAAAATATTTTACACATATCAAACATATTTATAAAAATTTTAAAAATAATGATTTTCATGAAATATAATTTCCAAAAAATATAATTTTAAGAAATAAAAAAATTATCCATAGGAAACGTCCCTTTAGAGTAAGAGCACGTTGAGAAAACATTTATATTGAAACCCATTAAATTTGTTAGCCAAGTTTACTTTGCACTCATTATGTGCATAGTTTTCTGTTAAAGTGGAGTTTAATGAACACACGAGTCAACTTATGTAACGACTATTCAGTTTTCTACTAATAACCAAACACATCCTCAACAGAACATGGGGTCTATAGACAGAGATAGATAGTTGAAAGGTTCGAACTTGATCTCCCGATTGCGGGTGGGTGGCATTTAGGAAAAAAATCAATCTTAATTGTTTTTGTTTTTGGTCAAACAATCTTCAAATCAGGAAGGTTCATGGCAATTACAGCAACTGAGGTTCGTGTTCTATTTTCATCCACAGTTTGGGTTTTAGATTTTTTCAACAAGAATACTCCAAGCCCAAGTTCAAGTCCAAGCCCAATCGAATCCCTTCCCCGTCAGTGACACGCAAAGCCATTTTCGTAAAAAAAAGTCATAAAAAAAGCGTGTAAGAAAACAACCCCACCGCCCACCATCCCTTCTATCTGACAACGCCACGTGTTCGATCTTATCCTTTTCTTTTTCGGACACGCTATAAAAGCACTGCTATTGAACCACTTTGAACCCTAACTGTTAATCAAACCGTTCACTAACGGAAGAGAAAGATAAAGATCCCAAAATGGCCACTACTTTGATACCCATTCGAGTTGTCGGACTTAAAGCGTCCGCCACCTCCGGCAACCCAAGGACTGGTCCCGATCGCCGGAAAAGCTCTTCTGCCAACTGGTGGACCCCGTTGTTCGGTTGGTCCTCCGAACCCGACTACATTGACTCCACCAACAAAGCGTCGAGTCTCCAACAGACTACGCCGGAACCCGTTTCGGATGCGATGGAGTCGAAGGCGTCGAGACCGCGCTTCGCCGGTGGCTTCACGGAGGAGAAGGCGAAGCAGCTTCGGTTGATGACAGTCGGCACCCAGGCCTTTCACGACACCATGTACCACTCCGCCATCGCTTCTCGACTCGCCTCTGACTTCAAGTCCCGTACCGATTTGTAAACTTTCCGGCGCCGGCGACTTCACATGGCTTACTATTCTTTCTTTATTGCATTTTGTGAATTGCTTGTATCCAGATTTCAGGGTTTCGATGTAAGCGTCGATGCAAATTGATTTATAACAGTGTAGCATTTAGATAGTGATCAACGGATGCAATCACGTGTATATAACATGGATTAAGGAGTAAAAATATGATTAATGATCCATTATTCTGTTGTTTCGAATTTTAATCTGAATTATTTGATTGATTTGACTTTCGTTTTGCGTGGAGTGTGAGGGAGTAGTGGGATGAATCAGCAGCATTATCCATTTTTTAGTCGGTGGATCGGATCTAACGCAAATGTAGTTACCAACTGGGCGAAGGGGCGTTAATGTCTTATAACTAACTAAGTAATTAATTGGAACGTTGAACGCAGCGTTGCGGGTCCCATCGTCATTAAACTGGTGTTCACCGCGGGTGGAGAGGCGCGTGTGGACGAGTAACAAGTAGGAGTATCTGATACGAAGGGAATATTTGAGAATTTGAAATGCTGGGTTAAGCATCCATCCAGGGAATATGCCGAGGCTCTTCCTCTCAGTCTCTGTCTGCTAAATAAGAATATTGTCATAGTGGTCTCTTGTCTGTAAGGCTACTGTAGCTGCAAATTGCGCTACGGAATCTCAAAGCATATTTGCTTTGAACGGTGATAGCTTTCATTTGTATGACCTTTTAATCTAGTTTACTCACCTTCCAACATGGGTTTTTCAAACTTCAGTTTTGTACCTGTAGCTACCCAATATTTATAGAACTTCATTTACATTGAGAACATTTATTTTAAAGACAATCTTCACATGAATATTTAAAATTTATTTTAAGAGGATAAAAAATATATTGTATTTTTTATATAATTAACTTTCTTTTTCAATAAAAGTTACAGTTTTTTATAGTAATTTTTATGGTGCCTTGAAGATATAAGAACATTTTGTGTTTTTACATATAGAATAACCTTTATTAATATTATATCAAATATATATAATAAATAGTAAAAGCTAACAATTTATCATAAAAAAATATAAATATTCTTTAATTTTTAAAATATTAAAAAAATTATAACATTTAAAAAGAGTATAAAATGTCTTTTTAAGTTTGTAGACACTTCAGCAAGTACTTTTTTTTTAATATGACAAATCTATTATTTTAATGTTTAGTTGGATAAAATGTTAATTCTCGTACTTATTTAAATTTGATTTTGGTTATTTTTTTTTAATTTCAGTCCTTGCCAATTTTGAATTTCTATAAAATAAATATCCTTTATTATTTTTGTAACATAATTTTATACATGTTAAGTTACATATTATAGCAAAATGATTATTAATATAACATCTATGGATGCATCCTAAAAAAATTACCAATGACAATTTTTGAATCCCAAATTTACGTAATTTTTTCATAACATCTTTGTTCCATCACTACCTACGTTAAAAATTGCTATTGACGATTTTTGAATCTTATATTTACGTAATTTTCTCAAAATACCATATTTGTTATATATAATTTCTAAATCCCATGTATAAAATAATATTCCTAGTTCCGGAGCAGAAACTGTTAATAATGAGCTAAAAACAAAACAGAATAAAACATGGGATGAAAAGTATATGCAAAATGTCACCATATTAACGTGTATATTAGAATCAGAAGAAGACAATAGAAAAAGCGCGTATCAATGTTGGACAAAACTAAGTCTAAGATGCGTACCTGAAAAGATCATTTTTTTGGGCCCATGTACCGAATAATCTTGAGGCCACTTCCACCGAAACTTCGGGGGCAGTATAGGCAAAACCGTACCACGTGGTCTAAGACTTCTTTTGGGTCAAAAGTGGTCGAGTCGAAGACTAGAGGGCCACAGATATTTTGCTAGCCCAAAAAGGGTATGGCTAATGGATTGATCAAGTTTAGTGGCCCATCAGAGCAACTAAAATTTGAAGGCCCAGCAAACACTTCTTCGATTATGATTTTGATGTAGAACTTATTGACGGAGAAAAAAAAGATGTAGAAGTTTAGAAGGAAAAGGAGTCAACTTTGGAATCAGTATGCTTGATTCCCCGTAGGAGGGGCTACTTGTGTAAGCTCTGTTTCATAAAAAAATGAAGGTGGCGAAGTCTGGGCTGTCAAGGGTCAACCATCTTGACATAAATATTAGTGATCATAAATTCATACCAACCACCAGTTTACGGTGGATTGTGAAATGGGTACTGCACTGCTATCCTAATGTAACTTCAATGAAACAAACCAAACCTGAGTCTGAATATCATCCAACATAATTTTTTTAAAATTCACTGAAGGGTTATCATCTCTAACTACAGGTTCATTTTTTCCACTTTTTCTCTGCTTCCGGTCATTAATAAAACATGGATGAGATGATATATAGTGATAAAGGACATGTATATTGCTGTTACTGAATCAACATGGACCCTCTAATTATATGCTAGTCAACATCAAACTGAGAAGAAAGAGCAATGACAATTTGACATCAGGTGAGAAAAATAGGATGCTTTTGCTGGCATTACAGCAATTTGAGATCCAAGAACACTCTTCCACAGTCATTCTACAAAAAGCTAAAACCACAATACAAGATGCAACTCTCAAAAGAGTATATAGCATAATAATCTTCCAAAACAGTTAAAAATATCTTCATCCATGTTCAAAATTGACCTAAATTTAAGATGTTACCGGGATATGTTGAGCTGCAAATAATTGCAAAAAATTTTATTGAGGACCTGAGGTTGTGATAACTGACACCGATGAATTGTTTGAAACATGCTCTGCAAAATCACTTGCTCTCAATATCATACAGATCTGTTCTGGGTATAGCCATTATGGAGAAACATGATAAGAGAATATAAATATTAACAGAGTATGCAGTCTTTGTTGGTTCTTGAATTTTGACCAAGTATGAGGCAAATATAATTCAGGAAGGTACTGTAGCTTAGTAATTTGATAATACAAGTAGAGAACAAAATGCCTTCCACGCAAATATATTGTCCTTTATTGGTTGTTATATAATGATTCTAAGAAATAATACCTTTCAAAATCCAAACTTAACATAGAACTTAATATCTTTATGTATCTCTCTGGTGTGTACATATCCTACTTACTGTCATGTGTCATCACTTCATAAGGGTTAGGTTTTGAAAACAAAATTTTATGTTCATACACTAATCCTGAACTTCAATGTGAAAATGCCAAACTAGCATCTTATTTGTCCCTCATTGGGGTATGCCCATTTTAATGTACAAATGGCTAGTTGGAAGCCCTAGTAATCAAAATCCTCAACACTCAAACTGATCTTAAATTTACCACTACTTCCCCCCTCCAATCATGAGATGAAAATCAAAATGAAGCTTAGTTGATGTCAGAAACAATTGTCTTGACTCTTCAAAATCAACTAAAATCAGTCATCATCAATTGCATCTAATCAATCAAAACATCAAATAATTTTATGAAGGAAATTGAGGAAAGATACATGCGTCCTTATTCTGAGCCTCCTTGCCAACCAAATTTGATCTTATATTGAACTTCATTCAATATGATGAATCCGGTCATCAGAAAAATTCCTCGCACCCAAAAAGTGCGAGTTTTGACAAGTTGTGGAAAGGGAACTTTTATTTTCGGCAGTAAGTTTTGACACTGACCAAATAACATGAAGTCAGAACCCTATGTTATTCCCCCTTTCCATGTTTTCTCACACAAATGCTTAAAGCCAAAAGTTAATTAGACTTACAAGACACAAAGGGGTTAGAAGAGGTTTTACATAGTTTATTTGATCTTACAAAAATGACTAAGGATTCCTATAAGATCTCTTTAGCTCATTTTGATAATCTTTTGGATGCAGCTTATTCAAAACCAACACCTGTAGCTTACTTCAGTAAGTTTTATAGTAAGATTTATGAACATAAGCTCTCATACAATAAGACCTTATTGAATAAACTCTTAATTAAATTGTTTACCCAAATTCATCCTAAATCTAAATCCTTAGAAGCATGTATAATTCAAAACGACTAAGAGAGCCCAACCTCCAGGAATCCCATAAAAGAAATAACAACTTCAGTTAATAAACAAAAAGGAGCCACAGTAAAATCCCACAATGCGTATCATCTAAAAACTATATACACCCCATAACTATTGTCAAATCTTCCAACCCATTTTGCAATCCTACACCAAACTCCGAATAATAGCTTCTTAACTGCTATTGAGATTTTTCAAGCACAAAATGACCCCGAATTAAGTCACACAAAAATAATATTCGATTGAGCAAAAGTATAAACAAGCATAACATGGTAGTAACAGCATCACAAAAAGTGTCAAGAAAAGGATACACCAAATAGAAACCATGAGCAAAGGCCCCGGCCAACACAGCAGTAAACAAACGATCTCTCAAGACGGGTCTATGCCGCAGCCCTATACGAACTGAAAAAAAAAAATAGAAAAAAGAAAATTGAAACAACCCAAAAAAAATAAAAATCAACTATTTGAAAGAGGTGGGAAAAAATTGAAGAGAATGGGAAAAGTAACATACTTAGAGGGAGTACAGGGGCATATACAAGAGGAAAGAGGAACTTAAAAGGAGGTCCATTGTTCTTCCTTCTTACAACAGCTTCTCTGTGGTAGTTAACGAAAAAGAGTTAAGAGAATGAAGTTGAAAATAACAAATTAAAATTAAAGTAAGATTGATACTATGTCTGAGGAGAGAGGTCTTACTGGTTCGAAGGATCGGACGGCGTGGCCATGGCGGAATGGATGGAATTGGAGAATCTGCCTCTACAATTCTTTGATCTGAGATCAGTTGAAATTGTTCCCCCTATAAACAATAGTGATAACCTACCCCAGCCCAAACCAACCGTGGATCATACTTATAGTTATTCTAATACAAATAATGTTCGTACCATTAAATTAAAGAAATAAAAAAATATTATTCCACTAAGATATAAATTATATTTAATATTTTTTTTAAATAATCAAAATATCTAATAAAGTAAATTAAAATTTCTTTAAACAGTATTTTTTAAGCAAAAATTTATGTAAACCTCATAAATATGTTATAATGGTGTATACGGTATACCTCATAAAAATAAAATAATCTTCACAATAACATAACATAAAGTATAATTAAACTAATCATAGATATTTATAAATTATTCACAATATGATTCTACACAAACTTGTGTCATAGTGGAATTTGAGATGCATTTCACGACCTAAATATGTTTCTTCTGAATTACATAGTAACAATTCTAATTGTAATAATGTGGTTTAAATTTATAATTTCATATTAACTACCATAGCTCCTCGTCATTACTTAGCCCAGTTCTAATGGCTTGTTCTGAATAACACTTTGTGAGTATATTGGAAATTCTTCATACAGAAGATCTATTTGATACGCGCTGATTGATGCGAAGAATATATGATTAATAAAGAATCCTCAATCCAGTTATATTTTAGTTAAGCGAAAGAATATCTCTGCAAACATGTCATTTACTGGTAAAAGTTAAAATAGTTTTCATAATTTTCTTCTATGTCCATAGTTTAAGTTTTGGTAACGTATTGATGTAACTATATGTTGAATTTAGATCGCTTAAACTTATACGGGAGAAACTGTTGGTGCAACAATTGTCATTGGAAGGACTACCTGGGTCTCAATAAAAGAACAAAAAATTGCCCTGAAGTGTATATGAACATAAAAAGAAAAAGATAATAAAATTTAACATTTTAATAAAATATTAAAAAATAATGATCGTTGTAAGATCATTTCCAACACATTTACTTCTTTTAAAAAAAAAATAGTAATACATTCTTTCTAATATATTTTTTATTATTGGTTAAAATTTATTAAACCTAAAAAAAATATGAATTTTACTTTCTTTCATTCTTAATTTTTTTATTTTTGTAATTTTTAATAAATTTAAGCTGTTTAGTGGTAAAATTAGGTAAATTAAGCAGGTCAAAAGGGGTGGCTGTTGCAACTTGGATGGAAGTGATGAATTGTCTTTGTACTTTCTTGAAGGTTGCTTTACACAGATTCAATGTCATAACATCACATCTCTCTCTGCACTTGGAATCAGCTGAGAACACAAACACGTCTTTAAATGAATTTTTTATTTTTCTTTCACCCGGACCGTGTCTAGAAAATTAACGGTATTATTAGACAAAATTTATATGGGACCTATTTAAATTTTTTTTTTTTGCTATTACCTATTTTAATACTTTATCAGTTCTTTTTTTTTTTCTAATTTTTTGAACTGTAAAACTATTGATTTTATAATTTTATCGTTTCACCTTTAATAGATAATGTGATTAATTTATTTAATCTATCTCAGTTTAATTGATCTCAAATAAAATTAGAGTAATTTCATTTTTTTAATAATGATATTATTGTGACTAATACTCTATAAATAATAAACATATTTAATAAATTTTGAAAAATAATGCACTAATTTTTAATAATTTTTTATTTTTATATATATTTTAAAAAAATTCACTTTAAAAACTAATATATTTTGAAAAAAAAAATCTAATTATAAATGAATACGAAAGAATGAGGGAAAGAAAAAATTCTAAATTAAAAGAACTCAAAAAATTAATATTGAAAATATTTTGAGAGCCTTCCTTTTTTAATTAAACATGGCCTTAAAATAATTTTCAAAGAAAGTGCTCATCTAAACAGGCTTTTGAATATTCTACATATAAATAAAATTTTTTAAACATTGCATAATTACGTAAAAAAATTTATATAATACTGTGCACCACCTAAAAGGCATTTATTACCCAAAAATGGTAAAATCTTAGATAAATTATAAATAAATATAAAATCATAATATGATACATTTTTTTTATGAAAATTATGATAACATTTCTTACAGACATAGCTTATTAAAGATAAAATCTTTAAAATATTAAATGAATTAAAAAAGCAATTTTTTTAATAAAAAGAATACTACAATACTTAATAATATATTTCTCAAATATGCATCAACTATATAAACTTATTAAAATTACATAATTTTAAAATAATTTTTTATAATATAAATTTTATTTTTATATAACACGTTTATACGACCATGCGTTTTCGATGGGATGTGACATATTCGATAGACTAAATATCTGATTTGATATTTGAAAAAGTTACGCAATATAATTCAGCTCCTAAAAAAAGTCACTAAATAGTATCAAAATTACAAATGTTAGATCTATATTAGTTCTATAATTTTTTTTAGTGACAAAATTAGATCACTGACATTTTCCTACAAACTAAATAGCACACATCCTCTTTTTTAAATACTAATTATGTACCTGAGATTAAAAAAAAAAAAAACCCGAAAGACCAAAATATTTCACATTTATTTGATAGTTAACTTTTTTAAACACTAAATTAAATGTGCGTTTAATATAATTTAAAAGAAAAATACTTATTTTTATCAAAATTTTAAATTAACTTAATTTTAAAGAATTAATAATCATTTCTTAAAATTTAAACATTTCAAAACATGCAGAGAGTGGAATAATCTTTTCTTGAGATGCAAAGATTAGGTGTTTACTGACTTTACTCTAAGTTGATATAGAATATAGGATACAGGTTGGTGCGGGCGATGACACATAGATAGAAGATGAGAGAGTTTGAAAAAGCAAGGAGCGCGTCATTCTTAAGCCGCGAGTTGGTTCTTGATCCACCACACTTCATTTCAATAATGCAAAGGCTGTGGCGTGAGATTGAAGCCAATGTTTGTGCTTGTGCGTGATTTTCAAGTCCACACCCTCTCCTATAGCAAACTTTATAAGGTCCCTCTCTAACACCATGCATCCTCACCCCTTCACCTTCATCATTCACCACCCTTTCATTCATTAAGATTATTCATGGTACGTAAGCCCCTCTCTCTATATATGGAGTTTGCATGATGCTTTATCGTTGTTCTTCATGCTTTTCTCTCTTATACAGGCTCTACCACAGCAACAAACGGTTGAGTATCCAAGTTTCAAGCTTGTCATCGTAGGCGATGGAGGAACTGGTTGTTATCTTTTTCTTTCCTTCTCAACTCTCATGACATGTCATCATTCACTCAATTCTCCAACACCGACTTCATTTTTTTTGTTTATTAACTTATGATGATGTTGATCAATGATCATTACTAACTACCCGGTTGATGGCACAGGAAAAACAACTTTTGTGAAGAGACACCTAACTGGGGAGTTTGAGAAGAAATATGAACGTAATTAAACCAGCATCCCTTTCCTTCTGTTGCACTCCCTTTATTTGCTTATTACTATTTCTAATCATCATCTATGGTTTTTGTTTAATTTTGCAACAGCAACTATAGGTGTGGAGGTTCATCCACTAGACTTCAATACCAACTGTGGAAGAATTCGCTTTTATTGCTGGGACACTGCTGGTCAAGAAAAATTTGGTGGTCTTAGAGATGGTTACTAGTAAGTCTAAATGAAGTTCATATAATAAATTGTATAATAATATTTCTGGCAAATGTCCAAACATATATTTTAATTTTAATTGAAGAGACATTCATCTTGATTTTAATTTAGTTATACTTAGAAGTTCCTTGCCAATTTAACTTAGTAATCATCTTGTTTGACTCATATTTGGGAAGTGGGAAGATGAAGTAGGTCTTTGTCAATTATCAGTCATGAATAGAAGAAAATAGCTCAAGATTTTGTTTGTGTTTATATTTTATCTTTTGTGATTTGAGTACACACCCTTCGCTCCTCCCCCCCCCCCCCCCTTCCTTTTCTGAAATTTGTTATTTCTTTTTTTGCATATCTTGTTTATTGGCATGTAACCTGCTAAGTTCTTTGATTCCATGTGTAACAAAACGTTCCTACATGTTCTTTTATTTATCAGAAAATTTGTTATGATGTCCTGATGAAAACCTTTGATATATCTGCAGTATTCATGGGCAGTGTGCTATCATTATGTTTGATGTAACAGCTCGGTTGACATACAAGAATGTTCCTACATGGCACAGAGATCTCTGTCGGTGAGTTGAGTAATTCGTATTATTATTTTTAATATCTTTGGAGTTTTCTTGCAATGTATTTTTCAATGTTGAGTATGTGACTCTTGTTAATCATAGGGTGTGTGAGAACATACCAATTGTTCTCTGTGGAAACAAGGTTGATGTGAAGAATAGACAGGTTAAAGCAAAGCAGGTTACATTTCACAGGAAAAAGAATCTGCAGTACTATGAGATATCTGCAAAGAGTAACTACAATTTCGAGAAACCTTTCTTATACCTTGCCAAGAAACTTGCAGGGTACGTAATGGAATGCTTTATTCTTTTGTTTATTTTATTGTTAATATGCCAATGTTACAAGTGGTAGCAAATTATTGGTATTGTGATTACAGGGACCCTGGCCTACATTTTGTTGAGATGCCTGCTCTTGCTCCCCCGGACGTAGTCATTGATCTAGCTACACAGCAATTGTAAGGACTCTTATGATTGGCCTGTTTGTTTAAGCTTATGAACAGCTTATTTTTGTAAGCTTCTTTGTGCATCAAAATAAACTCTTTTCAGCTTAATAAGTTTCATTGTTAAATTTATGGTATAAATCATTGTTTGAATTTTTTTTTTAAATAAGTTGTGTATTCAAATGCACTAGTTATTTATGTGCTTTTAGACACATTAAGCTGTATTGCCTCACTCTTGTTAGTTTCTTTTTTAGTTAATTCAATCTTATGTGTGTCATCTAATTTATGTGCTGTACAGGAATGAACAAGAGCTAGTTATGGCGGCTGCTCAGCCTCTTCCTGATGACGATGATGATACATTTGAGTAAACTTTTGGGCATTTCAGAATTTTCCTGATAAAAAAAAAAGATGTATTTTTCATCTGCTTTTGGTGCATTGTATTATTGGGGAATTTTCAACAAGTTAGAGTAAAGGTAGGGGTCTGTTCAGCACGGACATAAGCAGTATTTCTTAGTTTTGTTCCCACAGTTGTGCTGTGTGTAATAGTAATCAATTGACTTCTTGGGTCATTAAACTTTTAAATGATGTCATACAGAGTACATTCCCCTTGCTAATTTTGTGCACATGTGCGCGTGGATGAAATGGACCTCATCAACCATATCTCACGGTAGTTAGTACATTCACATGTCCAGATCAATTGAATTAAATGTTAAAATTGATATGGATAAATGAATGTACTAAATACCATCGATGATTTTACTTTTATTAGAGCTATAATCACTGGTTTTCATGCCAATCTTGTTGGGGCAAAAAAAAAAATGCATAATGTATTATACTACTACTATTATTATATGTAGCTTGTTCCGAGCACCTCGTAGGCGACAAACTTAATGGCATGTCTGATTCGAGAATAATGTAGTAAAAGTGGAAAGAAATTTTTGAAAATTTAAAATTTTGTTGTGTTTAGATGGGGAAGACAGGATGATGATTCTTCTTCATTCAGTCCTCATGCACACGGCTTGCATTTTTTATGATAATTTGTCGTTTTAAAATGTTTATGGGCATCTCTCATGAGTTGATGGTTAGATAGTTGTGAGCTTATCTTAGACTGCTTAGTATTAGTACTATGTCGGGTACCTGTAAAATGAAATAGAATATAAAGATTAAGACAAAAGCTATCTCTCGTAAATGTCTCACATGAAAGCAACAGGCATCTATCCGTTTCAGCACGCAATTTAGAACATTCCACTTGTAGGATCTTCACTTGGTTTGGTTGTGGAATGGGAAAAAAAGCTGATATATTTTCTTTTTTGGAACTGGTAGCTTAATCTTTGATCTGCTGGATATCAACCCTTCTTTTTTGTATGGCAACACCTAGAATTCTGTGTTGAAAAGTGTTTCCAAGATAAATTATAAACCCTTCTTACCAAGCAATAATAATTTCTTAGATTCTGATGGCAAGTATTAATAGTTGCGGTCCTGAGTGGCAACACTTGATTTCTAGCACATAGCTTTTAGGTGTTTGGCCAGTTGGCCTGGTCCATGTACATTAGGATGAAAAGCTACAAGTCTCAGAATACGTTGAACCTTGAACAGTAGCATAAAGGGTTCCAACTTTGGGCTCTTGATTGTGCTCCATTAGCTAGGCAAGTACATATTCCCTTATTAGCTAACTAGCTCTCAGCTTTTGGGTTGTTTGATGAAATGCATGGCGGAAGTAGCAAATCCCATCCCTCACCATTCATAAGTGTACCATATGCCAAGGCTTTTACATACTCAATAAATTTGTGGGATATCATAGACACGTGAAAGTTGAACAGTGCAATAGGAATTACCACATGACCAATGACACCAGACAAGTCACTATATGATTAATATGCAGTAGTAGTTTTATGAACACTTGCCAATTGCCATGTCTCCATAACAGGTTACCTGCTCCAAAGTAGGCGTGCCTTAATGGGCCAAAGATGTTGATGGCTCTCTCCCGGCTGAAGCTGAGCCTGTTGAGCTCCATTTGCCACAAGACTTGTCCCTATCAGTGTCGGTTCTAACCCACACCTACAGTCCCATTTTGCCATTACTACTCTACATACTGTATTCACAGTATGTGGGCAATAAGCAGTGGTAGGAAGCCACAAAGGGAAAAGGTGGGGCAGGTGAAAGCTGGTCTTGAGCATTGCCAGCACCAGCAGGATGTCTATGAATGTGGGAAGGGGTGGGCTCATAATAGAGAATTTTGACCATTGCCCACTAGAGTTGTACACTGTCAATTTTTCAGGAGCTGGTTAGTGGTTACCTCCAACAACTTATTAACTAGGTCCCATGTAGAGCACAATGTAAAATTCATCTTTAAAGGGCAGGCTCAGAAAGGTGGCTTTCAATGTCGGTTGAGTGGTCGGTGTTGCTTTGGGCTAGGCCCTATTTAGTAGTTATCTATCCAATATCCTCACCAGGCCCCTTACTGTAGCCTCACTTCTCTCATTCTTTTTTGTAGTCATCATCTTTTCTCTTGCTGTTCCTCAACGGGGCTCACTTTGCTATGTGGCCCATCCTGTCTTTCATCCTTTTAGTGAACTGCCTATTCTTTCCTTTTCTTTTTTCCTCTTTCCTCAGCTGTTAATGGTGTCCATATGCACCTGTTCTCTGTGTCTCCCATTTTTGTTCTCTATCATGCATTTTCTTAGCCATTCAATACCATCCCCATCACATATACGGTTACAGCTAGCTTTCAATATACTTGCTTTTATTTTCTTTCGTCTTTTAGCACTCTTCTTTAGTCTCCTACTCAAATCAATATGTGTACAATTAATTACATGTCATCAATATGGATATGGATATGTGCAAAACAATTAATGTACCCAAGACTTAGAATATGAGCGAAATGCATGCAGAGCTCATGTATGTGAATCTCTTCTCATTAATCCGTGCATGTATTTGACTATGTTACCATTCAACGTATTTTAATTAATATCAAACAGTCTAAATATTGCAAACTTAAAAATAAAATACTGGAATCCATGCCACAAGTAGGTGAGGGATGTATTTTGGCAACATGGTCTAATTTTGAATTATGATCACTGTACCTAAATTGAAATCCAAGCAACATGAAACTTACAAATTAAAAGAAATTGTTGGATGGAATATAAGAACCTAGTTAAGTTGTCACAAATTTTGGTGTTAATGATACACAAACACTAGTCCCACGTTTACCCTAACCCCCAACATGAGAGGAAAGTTATAAGTGGGAAAAATGGAGTGAGGAGAAATAGAATAGTAATGGAAGAATGTGACTTATCATCACATGGGCTATGAAGTGAGGATACATATTTACAACAAATGTATATGGGGAGCCCCTCATGGTAGGGTAGGGAGGATGGTAACGGGAGAAATAAAACTGATTATAGCTTGTTTTCATGTAAAATTGAAACAGGACATGTTCTGCAAGAGAAGCATGTGCTTACACATAAACGGTAGGGGCATCAATAGGAGGATAGCTAGCAACTGTCATTGTCTAAGCCATATGCGCCTAGTGGTGATGAGAATTAGAGACTAGGGGAAACCTGAATTTATTGGAAATAAGGACCCGTAGTTTCAATTATACTTCCATTTCCATTTCAATTTCATTTCATTTCTTCCTCTCACTCTCACTCTCTCTCAGCCGAGTTGTGATGATTTGGATTCTCTTCCTTTAGTACTTTTCAATCTCATATCACTTGAAAACTCATTAGCCCTACTCTTCTCATCTCATCTCTACAACTATATAGCCTGCCCTTAATTATTTCTGTAGTCTTCTTTCTGTTCTGCATTACTATTAACAATAGATAGACTAGACTACAGTCCAATTTGTACATTTCTACGAATTTTAAAGTAAATTACAAGTCATGAATCTTTTTGTATGTACTTACCCATGCACAAACTGTCATTTATGGGAATAAGAAAACAAAAGGACCAATGTAGGATATGTTTCACGCTACTTTTTTTTAATGTATTATGCCACATAAGAATGGAAAAGATAGAAGATTCCACAGCTGAAAGGTGGTTGTTACAAGCTAGAATGCAATTGAAAAGGTTAACTGAAAAAAAGTGCAATTGGAAAGTACTTATTGTGAAACTCTCTTCCTAATTTATTGCGAAAGAGGAAAAACAGAAACATAACAGCCGAACTAGGGTCAAATATGCATCGCATAAAGTATAAAACATACGGCATATAAAAAAACAAAGATGAAGATTTCTTTTATGCCCAAAATCCTATTCGTAGCCAAAATTATTAATTTCTCTCTCTTCATCCCTCGCACAAACACATTAGTCTAAGATTTTAGGATGTAAAACAAATATATCAAAGCACACATATTTAATTCCTTCAATTTTGATCTACTCATAAAACAAGATTAATAAATTATAAAGTAAAAGATGCAGAACTAATATAGCACCTATTTTTTACAGACAAAATCAAACTATAAATAATTAAAAATATGAATAACAAAAACATCAAAAATTGTTTTAAATATAAATCATTAAAAGTATATTTATTACATTATTCACCCTGAAATCACGAACTCTTTAACTGATAATATATAAAAAGGAATAAATTTTTGTATCTTTCGTATTAATATTTTCATTATATCATTTTTTATTTTCATATATTTAATTTTTTACATGATGTGACTAAAAAGGTTAAATAAAATACAAAACTGAGAAATAAAACTCAATAGAATTGTGTAAAAATTACATTGGTGTAAGTTACATCTATTCTTACACCATCTGATAAATTTTTATTAAATAATTTAATTTTAAAATTAACTGTTAGATTAAAAGTTTTAATCACATACATTATTTTTGTAAAAATTTTTATCAATTAAATTTTTTTTAATACTTCAGTCATATACATTAAAATTAACATAATATATACTTTTGAAATACATAAAAATAAGGACTCATTAAATATATTATTATAGTTGTTCAATTTATAAAAATTGAAACAAATAATTAAACTAATATATATATATATATACTTTATTTTAATATTAAAGATTTACTCTTAAACTAAGCGATGACAAATACGTTTATATTCCATGGGATGGGATAAAGTCAGTAAAAAAATAAAAGAAAAATTTAGAGAAAAATTATTCATTGATAAGAAAAAAATAATAATGTTTAAATATATAAATAATAATATGTTATATTTTACCTTAATTTTATGTTACATAAAATGTAATATTATAAGTATAATTGTGAAATATAGTATTTTAATATTTAAATTTTAACTCTATATTTAAATATTTAAAACATTGAAAGATAATAAGTTAGATGGTCACTTTATTTACAGTGTCATAGAAGTATATGTTATTTTATTTATAAAAAATAATCATATAACCTCCAGTGAGACTGTTGGAGGTATACTTTATGCATTGGCTAATATACCTTGTTGAGTAGTATTTCTGGTACTCGTACAAAACTTGTTTTGCTTATGAATTGACAGTGTCATGCTAAAATAATAAAAATAAATTCATTAACAATTTTTATATTTAAAAAATAAACTAAATATAATTTTTGTTAAAAAAGTATAATATCTTCAATAATGCATTAAAATAAATTGGATATATTCAATAATGCATGACATTAATACATTAATGTCAAATATTTATTTTTAATCAGTGATAAAGAGATTTCTCAAGAATTTATTTTGCAAACAATATTAATTCAACTATTGTTAAATGAAATTTTTTTATCCACATGTCAAAGTTAAAATCCGAAAAATATAGGGGTTTGAATATAGATAATTAATTACTCACAAAATTTTATTGATACGGATATCACATTAGTTATTTCTATTCATACTCATATAATGCATTTATTATATTT